TACAAGAATTCTATATTCTTTTGTGACCACGTTAAATTTGGAAGCATATCTTTAAAAATATTCCAAATATAACGTGTAAAACGACATCGATTTATCGTTATCATAGAGCTCGTTAAATTATACATCTATATTCATCACAATAACAAATTAGCAACAATAAACTAATTAATTTCAATTAATGGCCGAACAGTAGCAAATAGATAATAGCAATTCTTAATATAATACAATCTCAAGATTTTTAATTTTTTTTTTCACATAAAAAGCAAAAAATGTATAATCATAAATCAACCTGTGCATTTTTCTTAATGTGCACTGTTTGAGAATTTTTCAGAGGTCATTATTAATGATAATGGCTCAGTAAGTTCTTTGATTCTGAGATCTTTTTTATTCTAGACTCTTTATAACATAATCTTTACACAACATAAACTTTACCCCTAATTAAAGTGACTATAAAAATGAGCAAATTTATGAAATACTTGTTATTATTTCATCTTATTTTAATTTCAAAAAATTAAGGAATTACATTGTGAAATGAACAAATATATATTAAAAAATATAAATATGTTATACATAGCATAAAAATTTTCAAGAGTCTAGAACAATGACTGATCATATAAAAAATGCATCGTATTAAAATGATCTTTAACTAACAATAATTTTTAGTGAAAAAAGAAATAGTATTCTTTAGTAGACATTAGTATGTATGTAAACTTCCTTATGCAAACAATTAATACATTATTGTCATATGAAATTCGATTACTTAAATTTTTTAAGCATTGATACAAAAAGTTGAATCTATTAAGCTAGCAGATATTTTTTAGCTATTGCAATGCACGTAATTTTGGTGTGTTACATATAACAAGAATAGATTGCAAATATAATAAAGCTTCATGGTCTAGTATTATACTTAGAAAATTCGATTGGTGTTGAAATGAAAAAATTAATTTGCAAAAAAAATGTTAATTATTTTTTTTCTATTAATGTTACTACATAGCTTCGCAAATCAATCATTAATTGAATAGATGGTGGAAAGACTTACAAATTACAGATTAATAGTATCCAATGTGTGCGAATTTTTAGATGCATTGTCCTTTGGTGACGTGGTGGCAACACTAACTTGTTTGCTGGTATTGTTCGTAAATGGCATGGCAAACTTAAAATCTGCACCATTCGGCAATTTTCGCATAATTTTTCCAGATGTAATGAGCTTGCCAAAACCTTCTTGATGCGCGAAAGCATATCCGGAACGAAGAGATCGTCGTGTTCGTCTTGTAGATGGTGTACGAAGTATGTCTTGACTTTGGCGAGAGCGAAGTTGTGCCAATCTCTGTTTAAGTCTAACTCTGTCAGACAGTGTTGGTCTTACATCTATGAAGAAGAATCTCCATGATAGTACAGGTATTACTAATATGATACACGAAATGACCGCCGTGAACCAAAACGTTGCTTCAGACATTGCCTAAAATCGTGTGTTTATGTATTAATATATTATGTTTAATTTTTGTAATTAGTTTTATTATTCAAATATTGATTATAACAAAATAACATACCATTGTAAGACTGCCAACATAACTACCACCTATGACAAAGTTATAGAAATAATCTAAAATAAAATACCAAATGAGCGAGCCCCAAACCATAATGTGATTAACAATTGTCCAATATGATGTATCAAGGGCTATTTGAACAGTCACAACTATGACTAATATAGTAGCTACAACACTTCCCAGTAACATATGATCAGAAAGTACATAGCCCTTTGGTGATACTCCATCCTTATACGTCCCTAAAGATATATTCAATTATAATTCTAATTGTCACTAAAATGCAATAAAATAGTACATAGATTATTTTGTTTACTACTTACCATACGGAACTAAAAATAATACACAGCTGGCAAAAAACCCATGTATGGCACTCCAACAAAATTCCTTTTTATTAAAAAGTAAATTTTGTAGTCCGGGTGCATATAGTTTTGGATACATTAAACTATTTTTATCATTAACATCTTGATCAAAGATACCAACTGCCATTACAGGTAATGATGTATAAAAGAGATTGTAGACAGAAATATACATAGGATCAAATACAGTCTGTAAAGAAATATAAACATATATAAGAGTATATAGAAATTTATCTTCAAACTAAATTTTCGTGATAAACGTTTGAAAGTCAGAATCAATTAAAAATTAGTTCATTTCCCCAATACTCAACTTTGGAACTAAAACTATTCGACAAAGGAATTTTGCGAATCACATTCGCCTTAGTCTCATCACTTTATAAATAGAAAATAATACATGGAGAAACAAGAATATGAATGATATAAATTTATACCTGTGCGCTAAATCCACAGAAAAAGGCAAACCAGATGTGACATAATGTAAACGCAAAGTTCTTATAAAAAAAATATCTAAGAAATTTGCTCATTCTATAATATGACCATCTTCCATGAACAAGGAGTAATCTTTCTAAAAATCTGAATTGTCCTATCGAATAATCGGATGCTAGTACAGCTTGTAATCCTTCTTGTCCACTGATGCCAACACCTATATGAGCTGTTTTTATCATCGAGACATCATTAGCTCCATCACCAATTGCCAGAGTCACAGCATTCTTATTTTTCTTGATTAATTCGACTACCATTGCTTTTTGTAAAGGAGTCACACGACAGCATATCACAGCTTTACCTAGAAATTTTAAATATGCAATGTTAAAACAGTTCGCATAAAATATTCGCATAGACATAGAATTTTTCTAAAAATAAGTAACTTACATTGGCTTGATACCTCAAGAAAAAGTTGCTCAAGTTGCGGATGTAATGCATGAACTAAGGAATGCCCATTAATAACCACCGCGAATCCTGTTGCTTGTTCCATCTCATGCTCGTCCTGTTCATCCCTGCTAGGATTGTACTCAGTATCGCTGCTGTATATGAAAAATATAAAGTTTAAACAAAAGAAGATCATATTTAGAATAAAATATGATTTATAGAACTCTGTTTTAGAATCAAAAGTTTGGTTTCTTTAGATTTGATTTTTGTCAGATTTTTCATTGCGTTCAATCAATAGTAAAATATTTAATTATTTGCTGAGAAAAAAAGAAAAAAAAGGAGAAATTTGATTTGTTCCATTGAACATAAAAATGATGCGTATTAATTATAAACAATGTACACAGTGCACTGTATCATGGACTACTAATATAATAACGTGACATAAGCAACATAACTTATTGTGTTGTTATTTTTATTATTATTACTAAGATTAATTTTAAGCATACAGAAAGAGAAGGAGTGAGTTTCAAGCACATGATAATTATCATTATTCGTTTCGACTAATTAATGTTAATAAATAATCATAAGATATTGGAAAAGCAAAAATTATTAAT